CTGTTCCCGACTTCTTTCTTGAGCTGTTAGTAATAATAATAATGCCATTTTAATATTTTTATTTGTTTTCAAAGCATTTTTTTACTTACGGTTGTATTGAAGAAGTTTCGTAATCAAATCGGTATGTGTCAAGATCATACGACGACAACAGTATCTTTGAAGACCAATTGTATCCATAGCCTCCCTTTCTCAGCAAGAAAAAGCTTGTTAAGAATCGCGTATAAAAATAGTATTGAGTGCTGGATAAATCAATTACCCTTCATTGTAGTCATTTTCTAACATGCTTTGATATATTTCCCATTTGTTTCCGATAACTTTACCACAAGAAAAACAACGGACAGGAATAATCATTTTGACGTATATCAACAACTGATCGATCACTCAAAATTTATGTTATAGAGTACAGATGGGTGACAGAAAATTAGGACGCCTATCAATTTTTTTATAATAAAATATAGTAAAAATTAAAATTTTTGTGCCATATAAAAGTTTATAATTTTTATAATAACAACCTTTTATTTTATATAATTATGTAAGGCATCAATTGTACTTCTCGAAAAAGGGCTTTTTCTTTCTAAAAACTTTTCCGACACAGTCACTAAAACGTAATTTTATGATTTTTATGATTTTTATATATAATACTTAGGAAAAAATTCTTAACTTTTTTTCTCAATTAAAACAGTTTCTGTAAAAAAATTTTAAAAAATAAAAAAAAAAAATTTTCAAGATATGTAATTGATTAATTCAATGTTAGTGTGAATTAAAAAATCATTTATTAGAAAAAATGGTAACTTTCATATAGCACAGAAACTTCAATTTTTATATAAAAAATTGATAGACGTCCTAATTTTCTGTCACCCGTCTGTACAACCAATCAATCACGATAATATAATATTGATTAGTCGAATTTTGAATAAAAAATGAATGATCACGTGGATGAAAATAATCACTTTATATTTCATTATAATAATAATAAATTTGTTTTCAAATTATTATTTTTTTTTAATTTTGTTTATTTTAACAAAAAAAATTTTTTATTAAATTTTTATATATTTAATAATAAATCCAATTATTTTATTAAATTTTTATATACATTAAGAATAAATTCAATTATTTTATTAAATTTTTTTTTTGATATTAAGATAAAAAACTTCTCATAATCTTTATTGATTAGAGTAAATATGTAATATTATATAATCAATAGTAAAATATAAGATACTGTATATGGCTATATATACACTACTTGGACAAAAGTATTGTATGTCATTTATTTATTAATTATATAAAATTTTACATAATAATTTTATTTAAAATTTTAATATGTTATAT